CTAATTTTTTTAAAATTACTACACACACACACACATATTGTTTAGTTTGTCATAATATATTAATGCATGTTAAACCAAAAACTTCTCTTAGAAACTATTATTATTCATACAAATTTAAATCTATAAATATATATATAAAAAAAACTTATATCAAACATGCTTTCATACAAATATAAAAATAAAATTCTAACATACACACTAAACAAATATCCATACTTGTAATTAATATCAAATTAAATTCTTAGCATGCATGTTAATAATATAAAATATCTATGTTTAAATTAAAAAAAAATATTTACTTGTTGAAGTATTTTAAAGTAATGAAATATTTTTTGTTGTCAAGAATGAATTTTTTATTTTTAAAGCATTATTGCTCCTCTCTTGGAGCAACTAAGATTTTTGTAACATGCTTTTCAAGAGTTCTAAAATATTTTTTTAGTTTAGATTCACACTTTTAAACAATATCTTTGAACCAAAATACGTGAAATTTGAAAAAAAACTTGTGTTAAACTCTTTATTAACAATTTTTTATAGTGGATATGTAGAAGTTAAAAAGTTAAAGAATTATTTTGGTAACAATCAAAACTAATTTATCAACTTTGATTAGCTATCATAAATCTAGAATTAAATCAGAATGTTTTGGCTATAAAACTAAATTTTTTAAGTTAACAAAAACTATTCATATTTGTAGAAAATGCATATGAAAAAGACTATTCAAGTTCTTATATTCAAGGGTTGAGCTGAATAAAATATGTTGACAAAAATAGTTATTCACAGGCTAAAGAATTTAAAACCCAAAATTAGGCCCAAAGTTATAATAGTTTGGCTAACAAAAATCTTTTGTAATTCAAAAAATTATTTTACAGTAAACTTAAATTCAGATCCAGGCTTAATTTGAAGTTCGAGCATAAAACAGGCTAATACAAGCATGTGTATGTGATTTTAAAACTAAATCTCACTAAGGACTTCTCCTCTCTAAAAGTTTAGGTGCCCTTTAGGTTATTTCTAACTTCTTGACTTTCTACTTTATAAATATTAAGAAAATTTTGTTTTGTTTTTTCTTTATGTGAGATAGAATTCTTTTTAGAATGTTTTGAGTTTTATTAAAATATGTTGACCAAGGATTCTTTGAGATTAATTTCTCATTCATCCACAATTTATTTAAAATATATTAATATTCTATGTTTAAAAGCTTGTTAGAGATTAAATCTCAATCAAGTTTTAACATTAAAAGTGAGTATATTTAACTTTTAATGTGGCCTCAAATGCATCCATTGACCATAAATAAAATTTCAAACATAAATCTTGTAATCTAACTCTTTACCTAACTTAGAATTTAAATAAATTTATGTAGGATTTTTCTTGGTGTAATCTAGTTAACTTTGTAGGTCTAATTATAACTTGAAGGACCGTTGAAAATATGGTTTAACATAAAAAAAAAATAAGATGGTGACATATTGAATTCATCTAGATCATGAATTCCAATATGCTTAATGACTTCATTTTTTTTTCATATATATATATATAATATTTTTATTTAATTATATTATAAAAAATAGATATTTGAAAAATCAAGAATTAACTCAATATCAAAATATTTACTTAAAACTGTAATAACCTAAAAAAATATAAAAAATATAAAATCCAATTCTTAACATATTTATTTTTTAAAAAAAAATTAAGAAAAAAAATGTTATTTATGCTTTATAAAATAAATAATATATATATATATATGAACTATTAAATAAAAAAAAAGTTACTAACACTAATTAAATATTAAAGTAAAACGCTAATATTTATTGTATAAATAATAGTTACACTTGAAATCAAAACAAATCATTGGAAACAAATCAACTAACTTCTTCATAATATCTTGTAAGTTAAAATAAATATAAAAATCAATTACTATTTAAAAGTCAAAGCTAATTCATTGGAAACAAATAAAGAAAAAGGATAAAAAGAGGTTAGGAGGAGATGGTGGTCCACAAGTCTAATATTAAATAAAAAGCCCAGGCGCTCTAATGCCTAAAATCCTAAGCTCGTGCCTTCTTCTTCTTCTTGTTTTTTTTTAGAGCGGACAGCATGTAGCTTGGATTTTTTTTCCTTATTAACCGGGCGATAGGTTGCCAGTGGCATGTTGTTTGCTGTCTTGAATCCAACCACTAGCACGTTGTTTTTGGGTTGGCCAAAAAATTTATTTATTCATTCGTTTTTATTTAAAAATATTATAAAAGTTATAAAACATCTACTAAGTCATGGAAATTAAAAGACAAGCGATCACTTCAATCTAAAGTCAAGCGATCACAAGAACTTAGAGTCAAGTGATCACGATGATCTAGATATAACCAATGATAAAAACCTAAAGACAAGTGATCTCGAGAACTATAAAGATTTTTTATAAAGAAACATTTTGAGACTTGAAGATTCTATATAGAGACATAAATATTTTTTTATTTAAATATGTTTGGTGTCATTAGAGATATGAAAAAGAATCACTACTTTCATTTGAAAAATTAAAAAGATAGAGCTATAATATATGGGATAATTCGAGGATTATCTTATCTTGACCAACTCATCAAGTGTTTAGATTTTTTTTAATTTGTCTGATTCTATCTTTTTTTCATGAGTTGTTGAATTTCTTTTTTAAAGGCATGAGATTCATTGATTTGCATAAAGATTTTTTCATCAATAATAATTAGCTACTTAGTTTGTTGTGCGGTGGTGAAGTGATAAGCTCATCAAGTAATTTTTATCTGAGATTTTGAACTACTAAGATGAAGGTGACGAGATGAATATATAAATAATAAATAAATTTTATTTTATTTTATTTTTTTAAATATATAAATTCAATTTATTTATTAAATAAATTTAAATAAAAAACCACAATTAAATCCAATTACAATACAAAAATGATTTAAAACATCACAAAAAAGCATGCAAAAGTCCAAAGGATACACAAATAACGTACGGTAGTGTTAGTTGCAAGTCTTTTTAACGCTATAGTAGTAGTACCATGTAATGCATGCCACATGTTGCAAGTCTTTGCTGTCCGAGTCATGTCCTAGAAATAATTAAATCAACAAGATTTTATAAATCACGAGGGCAAATCCATCCAGGCCGATGGCTTTCTCCAGCCTTGTAGAAACCTTATCATTGTCAAAATGGTTCATCTTGAATTAGATTAGCGAGAGATGGACGTTAGAGTGGCCAAGGCTCATTTGTTATGTTATTTTATTTTAAAAATTTATTTTTAACTTCCGAGTAACAAAATAATCATAAAATATAAAAAAAAATAATGAAAAAAATTCAGAATATTTTTTAAAATATTTGTAAAATACGAAAACAAAATCAGTTGCCGTGCTAGTAGTTGGGGGTGGGTATTCGATATGACTCTACATGGGGGGATCATTTTACCCCTCCCATGGTTCCCTTACTGGCCCACCTAATAATTCTATCATTTCTCTCTCTCCAACTTATCATTAAAGCCTGCATGACTTCAATTATTGCAATGATCCCAAAAGCATGACATATCTGACCTGGTCACATCCTCTTAGATGTGCATTTTAATGGCGAGCTTGTGGAAAAGCCAACCCACGCGCAGGGGACCACTCCCAATCCTCTTCCCTTCTTCTTCCCAGTATATTTATTTCTCAAGAAAAATCAAAACCCATTGGAGAGACGACAGTACTGTGATGAACTGACTCATTGGATGCCTATATATATATTTATATCTTAGGTGGCGTGGCCCTTTTTATCATACGAATAATCTAATGCCTGGTTTAGCCACTTGAAAGACACAAAAGAACATTGGCCCTTTTAAAATTATGCTCCCAAACTTTTCTTGGAGAAGTAAAAGATTGGGGTCTCTTTGTCTGCTCGAGGGTGTGAAAAGAAGGGGCAGTTTATGGTCAAATCTCGTGCTAATCTGACGATATCTTGCCGATGAGTGTCCCTCTCAGCTCCCCCATCACGCTAATACTTATCTAAAAAGAGGGTTTAATTTCTTTTCTTTTTGGGTTTTCTTGCCCAATTGTTAGCTGACAAGTGTTGGTAATAGATGCACTGTTCTGGTTGGTGAGTTAGCAGGCTGTAGCCTCACCCTCAAGTCATCTCATCTCAGTTACCCTAACCTAAAGAAAAATTACTGGTAGGTAGTGTTCTAAGTAACTTGGAAACTGCAAAAGTGACGAGAAACTCACTCATTGATGGGTTATTATCATTTGAAAACAAACGAAACAACAGTGCTTTCTTTTCTATGATTGTGTTTGGTAACCACACGTAATCATATTGTGATGATAATGATGATGTTCATGATGATAATAATAACAATAATGCAACAGTTCAACATGGCTGCATGATCACAACCCTTGGATTGCTCCTTGAATTATTTCCTCGTATTATTGTGGGTGCGTGGCCCTTTATCGGCGAGAGCACAATAATTTGAAAGATTAGGAGGTAATAATCGAATTATTTAAATGTAATACTTCCCTTTGATAGTCTCTACAGTGTTTCGTAACATCATCACGTATCTCATGTCCTAAACAATAATTATTCTTTGCAACAAAAAAGGAAAAAGAAGAAGGGAAAGAGGTGGCCATACCACTTGAGCTAAGCTTGATCAAAGATTATCTCCATCTCAAACTTATTAAATGGATAAGTATGAAGTGTAGCATGTAGATGTGCGTACTTGTGCACAGAAGAAGAAAACAGGGAAAGTTAAGAGTTAGGTTGCCTTGTGCCTAATAAAAATTGCCCCACTACATTTTCTTTTCAAATGCCAACGATTTATATATCAAATTAGATACTACCAATCATTTATCATTGTTTCTCAATAAAGTCAAATATACTTCATTTTTCCATTTCATTCCTCCTTAAAATAATCAACCATATGGTTTAAAGCTTGATTGTTTTCTATTTTTTAATTTTAGAAATCTCTCTCTCTCTCTCTCTCTCTCTATATATATATATATATAGATATATATATATCTATGTATTTGTGTCTCGTGTATGGACCGTTGTTTTTTTTATAGATTCACGTGTGTTTGTCAACCTGGATTTGTCGGTCAATCCTTACACCCGCAGGGGCAATAAATATAAAGGCACACGGTCTGAAGAGGGAGATCTGTAATTCTGTGTGTTTGTTTTCATTTCAGAAAGACAATAATACATAGGGGTTTTTTTTTCTCTCTTCAAAAACCGTTGAAAGCTCATCTTTACTGTTCCAGAATATGGAGCTGGCCTTGAGTCTAGGTGATACATCAAAGCCTTTCAAGTTTCTTGACAAAACCCCAAAGTTATCAAGCAAAGATCTTGGGTTTTGCATGGGCTTAGGGAGTGGTTTTCCTGCAACAACAAGATCACAAGACAAACTAGGTAGCCATGAAAGTAACTATCAAGACGATGAAAGACGGGTATCATCAGATCCACCACTTCAACTTGATCTTTTGCCTTTCTCTCCTGTTCCTCGTGGACATCAGGCTCCTTCCAGGATTCGCTTTCCATGGCTGGCAGATAACTGTAACGTCACTTTGGACTAAAATATTTTTTTATCAGCTCTGTAACAGTTTTTAAGATTTGGGTTATGTTATTTTTTTAATCACTAGTTGATTCTTGGCTTGGTTTTGAATTTTTGCAGTGGAGTCTGAACCTGGTTCAACCGATGCAGCAGGGAGAGGGTTTGACGTGAACAGGTTGTCCATGGATGATGCTGATGAAGGAGCGGCGATTTCGTCGCCAAATAGTGCAGCGTCGTCCTTTCAAATGGATTTTGGGATTAGAAGTGGGAGAGACCGTAAGAGAGATTTAGAGGCTATTGATGCTGAGAGAGCAAGTGATGATGAAGAGAACGGTTTGACAAGGAAGAAACTAAGGCTCTCTAAAGAACAATCAGCTTTTCTTGAAGAGAGCTTCAAAGAGCACAATACCCTCAATCCTGTAAGTCATCATATCTTGAAGAATATCAAATGATTTCTTGATTTTATTTCTAACCAAATTACAAAAATCTCATGGCTTTACTAATCTTGTCGAACTTGTTTAATTAGAGTTTAGCACTGAATGAAGTTTCTCTTTCTTACAATCATGCAGAAGCAAAAGCTAGCTTTAGCAAAGCAATTGAATCTTCGTCCTCGCCAGGTGGAAGTGTGGTTTCAGAATCGAAGGGCAAGGTGCCTTTCTTTGACAGTATTGTATGTTGAGAAACGATTTTGTTTTAGAAAAATATATTTTTAGAATGAATTTAGCTTTTGTTTTGAATGATATACAGGACAAAATTGAAGCAGACAGAAGTAGATTGTGAGTCTTTAGAGAGATTCTGCGGGTTTGAAAGAGATTTTGGGTATTTTTAGTTTCATTTAGTAATATGGGGCAGGGAAAGTTTGAAAGAGTGGCTGATATACTTTGACTGATGATCTCATGAGGTTGTAGAAGAGATTTGGATAAAATCTAGGCCTCAATTTTGTGGGAAGATAATTTACCACCTGATGTATTTAATGGATTTTTGTATTGAATACAGTTTGGAGGATTATTTATTACTTCTCATTCTCTTGGATTATTTCTCTTTAACTTGTTCTGCAGTGCTCCTATGATTTAATGGTTGATATGTATACTTCATCATTTATTATTCTCTGCCTCTTGAGTAAAGAGAGCAAGATCAGATTGTCTCGGATGAGTTTGAAATGGAGGCCTTCACACGTTGTTTGCAAAGAAATTTGAAAACATTAGAAATTATTGAGGTTGTTGGCAAGCAACAGCCTGAGGATATTGACCAAATTTATGTTTGCCACGCTAAGGATGCTTGAATGTCATGCCTTCAAATCATTTCATTCGTTGATGCGTGATGACTTCTCTCACTAAATGCTCATGTTGGTTAGCGCAAGCCATTTCCTTGTTCAAAGGAAGGAAATCGTCTGTATTTCGTTGATTTTTTTAATTTTACAAATCATGTATGCTCTCCCATTTAGTGAAAACAAACTATTCAATTTAATCGTGGTCTATTCTGAAATTTAAATTAAGTAGAGAGCACTGGTTTACAGGGTATGTATAGCCTCCAATAAATGTTTTGGGTAATGTTTATTTTTGTGATGAAAGATATTTAAAAACATTGGATTTTTTTTTAGTTTTAAATTATTATTTTTGTATTTTTGAATCATTTTTATATGTTAAAAATATATTTTAAAAAAACTTATTTTAATGTATTTTAAGGAAAAAAGTATTTTGAAAAAAAGGGTTTTTAAATTGAAAAAAAAAATCTAGACATAAAAAATCATTTGACATTATTATTAAATGTAGTTCAATTATGAAACCTTGAAACCTTTAAATTTAAATCTTTGTTTAATTTAAAATTAAAATTAAATTATATAAAAATAGTCCTGATATGATATAAATAACTTCTAAAAAAACATGATTTAACTTAAAAAAAAATTAAGATTTTTTTAATATAAAATAATAATATATTGGATCAATTAAGACTCTACAACTTAATTGTTAAATTCATGCAATTTAATTGTTAAATTCATGATTCAAGAAATGGACTCCACTAAGTTTAAGACTTTTGTATTTAAATTTTTTTTTTTTACATAATTATATAAAAATAAAATTAAATATTTTTAAAATTGAGTACAAATTAAATATCAGGATATTTGTTTAAAATTGCAATATTCTGATAAAAAGAAATAAAAAAATTATACAAAAATATCAAAACCATTGAATGATAAATATAAGAAAAAATAACAAAAAGAAAAGGAAGAAGAAAGATGAAAACGATAAGAAAGAGAGAGAAGTCACCTTTTTTAGTGTTCATATGAATAGTGAAGGATATAGATGATTATTTTCGTTTTGGTTTGGTTTTCATAAAAAAAGTAACTAAAGTGAATTTTAAAAAAACCGAAATGAAACTGGTTTAAACCAACAGGTTTTGTTTGGCTTGTTTTTTAGAACAAAAATCGATTCAAACCGACCTGTTTCGTTTTGACTTTTTTTTTTGTTTGGAATGATTTTTTTAATTTCAGACTTATAAAAAATCAAGATGATTTTTTTAATATGAAATAGTGATACGTTGGATCGACCTAGGCTTTGCAACTTAATTGTTAAATCCTTGATCCAAGTAATGAACTCCACTAAGTTTAAGATCTTTGTATTTTCAAAACTCTTTTTTACATAATTATACAAAAATAAAATTAAATACTTTTAAAATTGAGTACAAATTAAATATCAAAAAATTTATTTATCACCTGCAATATCCTTATAAAAAGAAATCAAAAAAATTTATAAAACAAATTTCAAAACCATTGAGCGATAAATATAAGGAAAAATAACAAAAAAGAAGAAGATGAAAATGATAAGGAAGAGAGAGAAGTCATCTCTTTTAGTGTTCATATGAATAGTGATGGATAGAGATGATAATTTTCATTTTTGTTTGGCTTTTATAAAAAAAAAAATAATCAAATTGAATTCTAAAAAATTCTAAATAAAAACGGTTCAAACCTACCAGTTTTGTTTTGACTCGTTTTTGATTTGACTCAGTTTTTTTAGTTTCAAGCTGATAAAACTGAACCAAACTAATTTATTTTTTAAAATTTTAATAATTTTTTTTCACGATTTAATTCTTTCAATTATTTTTTTCTAGTTTTTTAAGTTTAATAGGTTTTTTGTTTTTTTGTTCACCCGTGTAGAAGGAGATGTGAGGCATCCCGAGTTTTTTAGTACAGAAAATATGGTCTTGACTACCCATCATCACTTCTAAATGTTGGTTGAGGTTTTAGTTAGCTTCTCATGAAGCCCTACTAAAATGTTTGTTCGGTTGTAATCATACGTTTTGAAGAGTCATTTTTCAGGTGCCAACAATTTCTTGAAAGTCCTTGTTGTCTTAAGGAGTTAATGTCAACAAATTACTCCTATTATTTATCTTCCCCAGAGTCCAGACTCGTGAAACTGAATCACGGAATGTCTGAATATTCAAATACATTAGCCATGCTAAGAAACACACTAGTTGCTTGGTGGTTTCGTTTTGCATTGACAAAAAATGATTACTGGTCTAAATTTCTTTACCATAAGTGTTTTTTAGACGGTAGTAATGGTTAATTTTTAAAGTATTTTTTATTTAAAGATATATTAAAATAATATTTTATTTTTTAAAAAATTAATCTTGATATCGATATCGATGGATCAAAATGATTTAAAAACATCATATAAATATTAATTTGAATCAAATAAAAAATAAAAAAATTTAATTTTTTTAAAAATTATTTTACAAATACAAAAATATATAGGGTCATAATTAAAATTAGAACCGGTGACATATGGGCTAGATCAAAAACCAGTCATTGGATAAAATAAATGTGTGCAAGATAAAATATTTGAAATAATAATTAAAAATTCAACAAGTGTATTAGATTAAATAAATTGACCACCATATAGGTTAACAAATGAAAATAATTTGGTATGACTTGTTCAACTCCACGACCCAAAAGTTAATTAGCCATCTTGTTCAAATGACGATTTGGATATTAAAAAAATACATGTTTTTATCATTTTAATCTTTGCCTAACTCCAACTTAAATATAAGATAACAAACTATACGAAGGATTAAATAAATAAATAAATGCGATAATTTTCAAAAATAATTTTTATTTAATTATATAGTAATTAAAATAAATATTTATAAAAATTTGAAATATTCAAAAATTTAAAGAGAAAATATATTTTTTCAGTTGAATTTTCCATTACTCATTTATATATTTTTATTTTCTTGACAAAAACATCTTTTTTATTAACAATTTTGTTTTTTTTTAATAAAATTAAAAGACAATTAGATTGAATATTTAGAAGGATATCAATAATTTAAATTAAGAAGTGAAAAGATTATTTCTAGAGGTAAAAAGTCCCATTTTTTTATTAATTTATTTTTTTGGATCAAAACAAACTTTTTATTACTAGCATTTTTTATTAAAAAAGTTTCAAATGAAAATAAAAAAATAATGTCATCATAAGTTTTATTTGGCTATATGAAAAAAAAAATCAAAGAATAACTCATTCATGGAAATCATATAAAAAACAAGAAAAACAATTTAATTCCCTTTAAATATTCATGTGCAATTTTATTTTTATAATCTATTACATATTAAACTCATATATAATTTTCAAAAAACAATTATGACAAATATAAACATAAAAGGTCTAAGCTCGTTTAAAAAATATGGCATAATTGGATGATTTTTAATTAGTATTGTAATTATTAATTTAAACAAGAATTTATTTTGTGATCCTACAAGACTTCTTCCACTTGCCTGGCTTTGAAAAACAAAAGATTCATTTGAAGTATGTTTGAGGTTATTTTTGAAATAATTTTTTGTGTTAAAATATGATGATATTTTTTTAATTTTAAAAAATTATTTTTCACACCATCACATGATTTGAAAACACTAAAAATATATTAATTTAAAATAAATAAAAAATAAAATATTTTTATTTTTTAAAAAAATATTTTTAAAATAAAAAAATAAAGAGGCTCTAACCCGGCATGCCTATATATATATATATTTTAATAAACGGGACAATCGAAAAGTGATGAATTTAAAATTTAAGGAATGAAATGGGGACAATCGAAAAATGATGAATTTAAAATTTAAGGAATGAAATGGAAAATCATAAAAATGCAACAACCAATTATAACCAATTATCAAAAAATTAAAAAAAAACAGAACAAAACTTTGAGATGCAAACAATGGTTGTACGTGTAGGGGTGCAGTGAAAAGCTGTTGTCAACTATATACTTTATAATTATAATTATATGTGTCCATTGCCAATCATATATTTTATAAATACAATTCCCTCATCAAGCCCATATAATCCGAAGAAGAAAGACAGCCTTATGGAGTAAATAGTTAATTGACGTTTATCTGTGTCTCCGACAACAAGCCTCAAAAAGCAAACTGTTGTTAAGAACACTGTATTGAAGTCCAAATAATATGGGCTGTTCTGAAAAAAGCGTGTGGAAATTTTAAAACTCTGAGCTGCTGCCCAGAGACCAACCCAACATTGCAGCATACAAAACATCAGTAAAGGTATAAGCCTAGTCCATCTCGCTTTAAATGTCAAGAACGTATTTATCACACAGCCGCTCGTGCTCGTGCACTGGGAATGCTATCGGCTTCCTGGGCTCGCAGCATGAATCAGGCTAACCCCAATTCTCCAAACCAGGCCTACTTGGCTACATTTGTGGCGAAAATCCTTTATAGAAGGAACCGTGCTATGCCCATGTTGGATTTTATTTCAAATTTAAGAGTGAACAATAAAAGGGAACGTCAATTAAAGCTTTTGATGCTTGCTAAATTGCGTGAAAAGGGAGTGGTTTCAAGCATCCTAGGAGCTGGATAATATGTTGAACCGATTCAACCAGATCAATCCTTAAAAAAACAACTATAAATAGAATATTTTTTCTAATCTTAAACCTAAAACTTAAACTTTGCTCTCTACATTCCCTGCACATAAAAGCAGCCACCCTCCCCTTCTCTATGCATCCCTCCTCCTTGATTGAAGAAGGAGATTGAGTTG